ACACAGAGTAATGGTGGAGTCATCCTCCCTGCAGGGATTTAATATCCCTGTAGCTGTGTCATTTGGGGACACGGGTTAATGCTGGCTTTGGTAGCACAGAGGGAATGGTTAGACTTTGTACTTAAAATTTAGATTTTCTGTAACATAGTGTTTTCAAGATGTGATTGTTTAGTGGCTGATTTTGTAGTCCTGCTTTAACAGTTGTGCTCCATGTCAAGAGGCTTTTCCATCAGAGCTGACTCCATGTGTGTTGGGTGCAAGGGAGCAGAGGCCAAAGAGTGGCAGCAGGGGAGGGGTGAGCCAGGACTTTGAGATTCTGAGTTGTGGCAAATGCTGAGGGGCGAGGCCAGTTCTCTTGGAGCATTTCCTTGAGGAAATGGTGCTTGGCTGAGCTCTGTCTGCTCTGTGCCAGTGCCTCAGCCTGGGCATGAGGGGAGAGCTGTGGCTGCTGAGGGACAGAACCCTTTTGTGAATCCTTTGTTGCTCCTTCCCCTTCCATGCTCCTGGAGCAACTAAACAAATCCAGGTTGCTTGAGAGGGCAGCGAGAGAGTGGCTGTGGGTCTGGGCCCAGAGGCTGGGGATCAGTGGCCCAAAATTCACATTGAAGCAAATCTCAAGGGAAGTAGGTCAAGAGTTGTAGCCATGAGGCCAACCCTGCTCCACATCCTCAACAGTGACGTGGGCAGTGGGGCTGTTGTCCCCTCAGCGAGCTGGCAGCTGATGGAGTGGCTGAGGCACAACTTGGCTGTTCCACCGGTCAGAGGGAGATGGGGACTGATGGTTAAAGGAGTCTCCTGAAGTTCAAGTAAGGGAAATGTGAAATTCTGCATCTGGGCAGGAATGGGAGTGGGCCCCAGGTCATGCTGGGGGCTGAGAGGCTGGGTAGGAGCTTTGCTGAGCAGGATCCTGTGGTGCTGCTGGAGAACAAAGGGACCACAAAGTCTCAATGCTTTCCTTCCTGACAAAGGCATCGCCAGTATCCAAGATAGATTTCAGGCAATTCTTGCCCTGAAACTGGGAGAAGTGACCTTTCCTCTCTTTAGAGCACTGGTGGGGTCCTGTGTGGCGTGGTGTGGGCAGTTCTGGGCTGTCCAGGGAAAGAAGCACAAGAAACAAGAAACAAGATCAAGGGAAAGAAGCNAACAAGATCAAGGGAAAGAAGCACAAGAAACAAGACCAGACCAGGGCGACCGAGATGCCGAAAGGGCAGGAGAATCATTCCTTAGAGGGCAGAGAGAGCTGGGACTCCCCGGAGACAAGGCAGATCCCTGACGGCAGGAAATGAAGTTGAGTAAGCCGGGCTGTTCTCAACAAAGCACACAGAGGAAGGAAAGAGAGGAAGGGAAGAAAGGAAAATAGATGGAATTCCATGGGGAATGAAGGTGAGAATTTTGAGTGTGAGAGTGGTCTTGGAGTGGAAAAGCTGGTGAAGTCTGTGGTGGGACAACCAAAATTGAGCTGGCTATGGTCCTGGAAATGCTGCCCTTGCTGACTTTCCTTGAGGAGAGGGAAATGAAGCCCTTGTATTCCAGAGTTCATGCCCAAGTGGATGATGTTGTTCCTCCTGTTTGCTGGCTGGGTTCAGGAGTCCTGATGGGGAAGAGAGGTTTTCAAGTGTGTGCTGGCACAGAGAGATTCCACCAGAGCCATGAGCAGGAGAGCGTGGATGTGTCAAAACCTTTGGGGCAGGGGGTTCTAGGTTTGTGTCATGTTTTGGAAAGTGTGACCTCAAGCCCTGCTTCCAGTGCCTGTCTTGGTTATTGCTGGTGGTGACATCTTAGCGAAGGGAGTTGTTCTGCTTCTTTTCCATCCACACCAACGGCCTACCGGGCATTTTACTGGGTGAGGATATGAAACCATAGGAAATGAAAAAGATGAGGAGACATCTCAGACTTCGATGCAGGTAAATTTTATTGAGGGGAAAAAAATGGAGACAGGAGAAAGACTAGAAGGAATCCAGTGTGAGACACAAGTAGGGTGAAGATCAGCTGAGGCGATTTGGTTGCAGGAGCTGTTGTCAGAGGCCAGAGCTGGTGGTGTCAGGGGTGGTGCTGAGGACCCTCAGCAGTTGTAGCGGCCCCTTCTGCCGTAGCAGCCCAGCCCATAGCCATAGCCCTGCCCGTAGCCGAATCCACAGCCATAGCCAAAGCCACGGCCGTAGCCAAGGCCGTAGCCAAAGCCACCAAAGCCACCAGAGATGGGCTGTCCCTGGGCACTGAGCTCACTGCCCACGGCAGCCGAGGAGGTGGATCCGACGGCGGTGTTCTGGGGGAAGGAGGTCATGATGGGTCCTGGCAGGGTGACCAGCACAGGGGAAGGGTTGATGATGACGCGGGAATCCTGGCACTGCAGGGCACAGGGCTCGTTGCAGCTGTTGGCCAGCGGGGTGGGTCCGCAGGGCTGGCAGAGGGTGTTGCAGGCCATGGGTGTGGAGTGGAGGGTCCTGGAAGAGAAGGGATGAAGCAGGAAAGGGGTCTGAGGGTGTGATCAGCAATGATGTAGAAAGTCAAAAGAGTGTGGAGGGTGTTTTGGGGCTGTGGGGAGTTGTGAGGGCTGCTGAGGCTGGGGCTGAGTGTGCTGGAAGAGAGGAGACAGGGGAGCAGGAGCAGGAGGGTCAGGGGATTGAGGCTTACCTGGTTGTCAGCAGGAGGAGAAGGCTTCAGGAGAAGTGTGTGAGGGACAGAGGCTCTGGGCTGGCTTTTATGCTGGTCTGGAGGGGTGGGACATCCTTGTCCAATGGCCTTGGGGTAATTTTTTCGGCAGCAGCTCTTGCCTGGCCCAGCCTGGTGAGTCATGAGGTGGGGAGTGTTTTCCTTCATGCAATTCTGTAATTCCATGTCCTGCTATTGATGCCGTGTCCATCTGACCTTGGCGGCAGTTTTCATAATTTGGTATTTGGGTGGATTTGATTGTTCCAGGTGTGTCAGGGATGGGTGAATGAAGAACCAAAGCCCTCCAGATCTGCAGTGTCATCAGTGATGTCATTTTGTGGCCCTTACGTGGCACTGATGTGAGTGTCTTGTGCAGACTGGGACTCTTCCATGCCGCTGCGTGTCCATCAGTCATGGTGCTGCACTCAGGAATGCTGAGGGAGCTGCTGATGCCCTGGGGAGGTCACTCTGCAATAGCTTGGCAAGATTCCAGTGCCTGGGAGCTTCTTCTGTTGGATCAAAGAGTGCTCATGGCCTTGTGTCTTGAATGGGATCGACAGAGAGGACATTTATAATGAGAGGCTGTTCAGGCTGAACTTGTTCCACTATTACAGCCCATTTGGAATTCTCCAATTCACATGACAATGTACTCTGCCATTTAAACTCTATTACCTGACCTTGTTAAGAAATCCATTAAGGTAACAACAAACTGGGCTTGATCCCTTTTTTCTCAGGCTGTTTGTGACATCCATTAGTTTATTCCGCGTTCAAGCCACAAATTTCATAACTCATAACCTGTAATTGTTAACATTGTGTTCCTGTAAGCAAATAACCAATAATTACTAATTGGCAATCTATGAGCTCCTCTGTCCTTCCCTGACAAGGCGGGTGCGTGTCTTTGTGGAATTGTGCAATTCCATATCCTGCTCCTGAGGCCCTGTCCACCTGTGGTGGCAACTTTTAATTGCAAGTACTAAGAGGTCAAGTTTTTCTGTTGGTGATTCATGTCAGGGAGGGCTGAAGACCTGACCCAAGCTTTGGAGAGGTGGGGTGTCATCACTGTGGTCACCCCATGGCCCTCAGGTTTTGTGGTTTTTGGGTGCCTTCTGAAAAATTACCCCAAATTTCGCACAGTTCTGATAGGCTGGTCTGGGCTTCGCAGCTGTGACAAGGAGGAGGTGTTGCGACTTCCATTGCCTTCACCCCTCCATGCATTTATGCCAGTTTGGACAGCCTGCCCTCAGACCTCACCTTTCAATTTGGACATGCTTGGTGGGTGCACCGGTGGTAGTCTAACCGCAAAGGTTTTGATATTTTCTGTCATCCCTTGGGCTGAGTGCCAAAGGCTGAGGCCACTTGTGATTGTCTGAATGAGGATTTGGAGGTTGACCAGGATTGTTGGAGGCGAGCATTTCATGATCTTCAACAACCCAGACAAGTCCAGCTCATGGCAGTGCCCAGCGTAGTGGACTGAGAAAGGTCTGAAGGTCTGGGCCCAGTGGTTTGTGGCCGGTGTCCCAAAATTCAGGTGGCAGCAAGTCCCCAGTGCTGCAGCCCAGGAGTTGGATCCACTGGGCCAACACTGAAAATTTGATGGATTCTGGACATCTGCTGGACTTCAGCAAGGGCAGCTGCCAAGTGCTTTCTCATGGGAGGATTCATCCCAAGTAGGAAGAAATACCTGTGTGTCACTTGGAACAATTGTTTCCTTCTCTGAAAACACCTTTGTGGTTCTGGGTTAGAAGGAATGGGATAGGAGGTGTCCCTGTATTGTGAGAAAAGGCATCTCCTGTGTCCGGGTCAGGACTGAGGAGAATTGTTGTGATAAGACAGGGAGAGAAGACTCTTGGTGTCTTCTGAGCACTGGTGAGGTCCCATGTGAGGCAGTGTGTGCAATTCTAGTCTCCCCAGTGTGAAAATGAAGTGAGTTTAGTGAATAGCAACCAGCTCAGAACCACCAAGATTCCAAAAGGGTTGGTGAATCATTCCTGGATGAGAAACTGGGAGAGCTGGGACACCAAGGGGACAAGGGTGGACAGGGAGGTGCCATCAGCGTGCACGAATTCCTGATTGCACAGAATGAAGTGGAGGGAGCCCGGCTGTCCTGAGCAGAGCACACGTGCAGGACAAGAAGACAAGTGTAAAGGGAAAACAAATGGAATGCAATTGCTAAAGAAGGCAAGAATTTCTCTTTTTGAGGGCGGTCACAGAATGGAAAAGGCGTTGGACTGTCAGTCTGGGGAGATCCAATACTGAACTGTCCATGGTGCTGGGGATCCTGCTCATGTTGTTCTTGCTTGAGCAGGGAAGTTGAAGCACTTGCACTCCAGATTTCCTGCCCAAGTGGAGGATTTCGGGACTCTCTTTGCTGGAAGAGTTCAAGAGTCCTGGTGGAGAAGAGAGTTTGCCACAGAACTAATTGACCAGGAGAGCATGGATGTGTCCAAGGCTTTGGTCTATCAGGTGATGGGTTTCTGTAATGTTTTGGAAAGTGTTGCCTCCTGTGCTTCTTTTGCCAGACTTTCTTATTAGTTGTTTTGACATATTTGTGAGGAAAGGTGTTGTTGCACATACCCCAGTGGCCTGTTGAGGTGTGGAATGTGCTTGGTAAGGATGTGAGACCACTGGAATTACAGAAGAACAGGAGGCGTCTCAGGCTTTGATGCAGGAAAACTTTATTGAGGCACAAGAATGAAAAGACAGGAAAAAAGAGAAGTTGGGATCCGGTGTGAGGAGCAAGCAGAGCAACCACGAGCTGAGGTGCTTTGCTTGCAGGAGCTGTTGTCAGAGGCCAGAGCTGGTGGTGACAGGGGTGGTGCTGAGGGCCCTCAGCAGTTGTAGCGGCCCCTTCTGCCGTAGCAGCCCAGCCCATAGCCATAGCCCTGCCCGTAGCCAAATCCACAGCCATAGCCAAAACCACGGCCGTAGCCAAGGCCGTAGCCAAAGCCACCAAAGCCCCCAGAGATGGGCTGTCCCTGGGCACTGAGCTCAGTGCCCAGAGCAGCCGAGGAGGTGGATCCGACGGCGGTGTTCTGGGGGAAGGAGGTCATGATGGGTCCTGGCAGGGTGACCAGCACAGGGGAAGGGTTGATGATGACGCGGGAATCCTGGCACTGCAGGGCACAGGGCTCGTTGCAGCTGTTGGCCAGCGGGGTGGGTCCGCAGGGCTGGCAGAGGGTGTTGCAGGCCATGGGTGTGGAGTGGAGGGTCCTGGAAGAGAAGGGGGTGAGGAAGGTGAAGGTTGAGGGGTGGAAGGGACGGTGATGCAGGAGGGTGAGGGAGTGTGGAGGGTATTTTGGGGCTGTGGGGAGGCGTGAGGGCTGCTGAGGCTGGAGCTGAGTGTGCTGGAAGAGAGGGGCCAGGAGTGCAGGAGCAGGAGGGTCAGGGGCTTGAGACTCACCTTGCTGTCTGCACAGGAGAAGGAGAAGGTGTCAGAAGAAGTGTGTGAGGGACAGAGGCTCTGGGATGGCTTTTATGCAGGTCCTGGAGGGGTGGGACAGCCTTGTCCCATGGCCTTGGGGCATTTTTAGGCAGCAGCTCTCGCCTGGCCCAGCCTGGTGAGTCATGAGGTGGGGAGCGTTTTCCTTCATGCAGTCTTGCAATTTTGTGTTCTTTCCCTTGAGTCCGTGTCCATCTGACCTTGGCAGAACATTTTAATTGGGGGAATTGATGACCATTATCTCATTGTTTATGGTGTGTGTCAGGACATGTAAAATACTCAGCCGAATCTTTGGATAATTGGGGTGTTGTCAGTAAGGTCATACCATGGCATATTCATGACATCTTCCATTTGCATTCTTGCTTCCTTCCTGAAAGAACTCCCAGGTTTCTCATCTTGTCCTCGTTTTGAGGATACTCCAATCCTGTCAATGTCATGGTGTTCTTGCAGCCCTCTTGGTCAACCACGTCCATATTCTTGTTCCACCAGGGAGCCCCGGCAGTGGTGGGGACCAGGACAGTCAAGACCTCAACAACACGACCCTCAACTTTCTACAGCTCAGGCACATGGGTTTCAAGGCTGGATTAATCAATGGATGGTGAACTGTGCTCCTCATGTGTCTTGTTGTCCTTATCCTTCAGCATTTTTCCTTTCCAAGGGTCAGTGGCAGTCTAACACTGGGACCCCACAGTGTGACCTTGCTGGTCACAGCTGAGATGAGCGCTGTGGATGAACCAACTCAAGACTTTGGGGAGCACGGGAGGCCATCCTAAATCACAGGGGTTGCTTTCCCATCTCCAGCAGGAAAGGCTGGGAGTACAGACAGGCTCTGAAAGTTGGCAACATGGTGGGGACGGAGAGAATATCATGGAAAGGACAGTTCCTCACAAGCAGTGCTCCTGCAAAGCCAGACAATCCTGACAGAGCTGGCCCCAATTCACAGTGCACCCAAAAACCAGGGCACACCAGTGCCATGGGGTGACCTCACTGATGCCACCCCATCTCTCCGAGGCTTTGGACATGTCTTCAGCCCACCGTGATACGTGCCATCAACACCTGCCCTTAACCTCTAAGACAATTAAAATCTGCCACCAGGGTCAGATGGACACGGCCTCAAAAGAAGGACATGGAGCTGCAGAATTCCACAAAGGAATGCCCACACCATGACATAGGAAGATAGACAACCGTGCTGACCAACCATTAGTAATTAGTAATTGCTAGAAGGAACAGATTATTAAGACTAACAGGATATGAGATATGAAAGCTTATGGCTTGAATGCAGAATAAAAACAAGGACATCGCAGTCCAGCCTGGGAAAAAATGGATCAAGCTGGGCTGGGTCTTTGTTTAAGGGATTTCTTAATGAGGTCAAGGAGTACACTTTAAATGACAGAGTACAATGTCGTGTAAAGATGAGAAGTCCAAATGGACCATGACACCAAAACAAGTTCAATTGGACCAGCCTCTACTATTCCAGATGTTCTCTCTTGATTGAATTCACGACACAAGGCCATGAGCAATCTTTCATCTGTAGGAACACTCCTAGGAAATATAACATTTCCATGTTATTACAGAATTAACTCCCCAGAACATCAGCAGCTCCCTCAGCATTCCTGGGTGACACAACGGCTGATGGACATGCAGCAGCACAGAACAGAGTCCTGGTCTTCACAAGGCACCCACAAAACACAGGAGGTGTGCCACAAAATGACCTCAGTGATGATATCGCAACTCCGCTGGGCTCTTGTTGCTTATTCAGCCCTGCCTGACACACATCAAACAATCAAAACCTCCCAAATGCCAACTCTCACTTTAAAGCTGCTGCCAGGGTCAGATGGACATGGCTTCAAGGACCGATCATGACACTGAAGAATTCTATGAAGGAAAACACTCTCCATGCCATGACTCACCAAGCTGGGCCAGGCAAGAGCTGCTGCCGAAAAATGCCCCAAGGCCACGGGACAAGGCTGTCCCACCCCTACAGGACCTGCATAAAAGGCAGCCCAGAGCCTCTGTCCCTCACACACTTCTCTGCACACCTTCTCCTCCTGCTCCTGCTGACAAACAGGTGAGCCTCAACCCCCTGACCCTCCTGCACCCCTGGCCCCTCTCTGCCAGCTCACTCAGCCCCAGCCTCCCCACAGCCCCACAACAGCCTCCACACTCCCTCACCCTCCTCCATCACCATCCCTCACACCCTCACACCCCTGCCCTATGTCATCCCTCTCTCTTCCAGGACCCTCCACTCCACACCCATGGCCTGCAACACCCTCTGCCAGCCCTGCGGACCCACCCCGCTGGCCAACAGCTGCAACGAGCCCTGTGCCCTGCAGTGCCAGGATTCCCACGTCATCATCAACCCTTCCCCTGTGCTGGTCACCCTGCCAGGACCCATCATGACCTCCTTCCCCCAGAACACCGCCGTCGGATCCACCTCCTCGGCTGCTCTGGGCAGTGAGCTCAGTGCCCAGGGACAGCCCATCTCTGGTGGCTTTGGTGGCTTTGGCTACGGCCTTGGCTACGGCCGTGGGTTTGGCTACGGGCTGGGAGGCCTGGGCTGCTATGGCAGGAGGGGCTATGGCTACATCTGCTGAGGGCCCTCAGCACCACCCCTGACACCAACCACCCACTCCCTGGAACACACCCCAGTTGCTGCAGCCACCTCTCTGGGCCAAAGCTGTCCTCCAGCTCAGCACTTCCACCTTCTGCTCTCAGGCCAATTCAGTAGCCAAGGGGCCAGCCCAAGCTGCCTGCAGACATGGCCCATCTGCCTCCTGCTCTTTTCTCACTCTCTTTTGGCTCTGTCCCGCTCCATCTGCTGCATATCTCTTCTCCCAAGCCAGAGTCTATGAGGAACTTTCACCATCAGGTGTTTCTACTGCGGAGCTGGAAGGCTTTGATGCTCTGTCTGACCTACCAGCAAGCAAAGGACCTCGGCTGATGGTCGCCCTACTTGCCCCTTAGACCAGCTCCCTTCCTCTTGCCACTCATGACCTCTCACTCTTTTTTTGCCTCAATAAAATTCTCTTGCACTGCAGCATTGTTATGTCTCCTTTTCCTTCACGGGCACACACTGGCACAGTTTTCTCTTCCAATGCATGCCACAAACTCTTCATTTGTGTGGTCCAACGCCTGGATGCACAAGGCACATCTATCCCTGCCTCTGACACAAGGTCTTCTGGGCCACGTTTTCACACTGGCTACACAGCTGTTGCTCCAGTCCCTCCCTGTCTCTTTAGCCCATATACAGATCCACGTGAGCAGGTCCTTACCCTTGTGTTGTTCTGTTCTTTTAATAGTTTTAAAGTTCTTTTAAAAGTTATGTTTATATATTTTTACTAGAGTTTTCACACACTCTTAATGTAAATAATGATTGTTTTACATTTTTCTTTGTGGGAGGAGAGAATTGATACGCTGTTAGTTTAACTCGTGTAGTTAGAGAAGTGCTAATTGCATCTCCTAATCTACGGTGGCTTTTAGAATTCTATATATTGTGAGGTTAGAAATAAAAATTACTTCCTTTTCTTTTAATCTTAGTGTAAGTGTGTGAGTTATTTTGTGTCGTAGTGCGACACCCTTGAGGCCCCAGAGCTGAGCACAGAACTCCAATCCCACCAGAGCAGAGCAGAGCAGAGCAGAGCAGAGCAGAGCAGAGGGTCAGAATTCCCTCCTCACCAGCTGCCCACACTGTGGCAATGAGCCCATGGCATGGGCAGTTTCTGTTCGGCGTGTTCACATGGCCAGGGCACGTCCAATTCCTCATCCACCAACACCCCAAGTCCTTCTCCTCGAGGATGCTCTTAATCAACTCATTAGCCATCCAATATCCATTATTGAGATTGCTCCAATTCAGATTTAGGATGTTGCACTTCGTCCTGTTGACCCTCATGACAATCACACCACCCCAGCCTGTCAAGAGCTCTTTGGATGCCATCCCTTCCCTCCAGACAACCAACCACACCGCTCACCTTGCTGTCATTCCCATTCTCCCTAAGGGGACGCTCAGTTGCACTGTCCCTGGGCCTGACAAAATGGGAAGTGACAATGGTCCCAATACGAGCCTCTGCAGGTCACACTCATTCCTGTTCTCACAGACATGGAGCTGTTGACCACAGCTCTGTGAGTGAGATCATCCTGTCCATGTTGCACCCCAGAGCTGATGCTCCAGCTGTCAACTCCACATCTCTCCAGGTCACAGATAAGGATGTTGTCTGCCACAGGAAGAAATGCTTTGCACAAGTTCATGTACATGATATCAGTTGCTCTCCTGTCATTCACCAGTGTTGGAACCCCATCAAGCTTTTCAGGAAGAATTTATTCTTCATGAAAATGCGAGCAGCAGCAGGGGAGGGGTGAGCCAGGACTCTGGGGTCTTGAGTTGTGGCAAATGCTGAGAGGTGAGGCCAGTTCTCTTGGAGGATTTGCCTTGAGGAAATGGTGCTTGGCTGAGCTCTGTGTCTGCTCTGTGCCAGTGCCTCAGCCTGGGCATGAGGGGAGAGCTGTGGCTGCTGAGGGACACAACCCTTTTGTGGAGCCTTTGTTGCTCCTTCCCATTCCACACTCCCAGAGCACCCAAACGAGCTCAGGTTGCCAGAGCGTGCAGTGAGTGGCCTGAGAGTGGCTGAGGGGCTGGCCCAGAGGCTGGGGATCAGTGACCCAAAGTGCAAATGAAAATGAGTCCCCAGTACTGCAGCCCAGGAGTCGGATCCATGGGGTCAGCGCCTCTCAACATCCTAAATAATGAGCTTGGCAGTGTTGTCCCCTCAGACACGTAGCAATCTCAGTAATGGATAATAGATATGTTATGAATTGATTGAAAGCATGCCCAAGGAGGTCTTGGTGTATTGGTGGATGAAGAATTGGATATGCCCTGGCCATGTGCACTCACAGACCTAAACCCCTCTGTGTCCTGGGTTCATCACCACAGCGTGAGGGGGCAACTCTGACCCTCTGCTCTGCTCCTCAGAGTCTGGAGATGTGTGTTCAACTCTGGGCACCTGAGGATACAGAAGATATGGACGTGATGAAGCAGAGCTGTAGATGGTCCTGGAAGATGATGAGGGTGTGGAGTAACTGGTGTCCAGCCAAAGTGAAAACAAGACGCATATACAGCTTCTATAAGAGGCAGGGATAGACTTGCATTAGCATATCCAGGCCTGGGATGAAGCAAGTGAGGGGTTTGTAGGTTTGTAGGATGCACGGGAAAGGCAAAGTGTGCCACTGTGTGTCAGTGAAGGAAAGCAGACATCTGAGGCTGTAATGCAAGAGAATTTTATTGAGCTAACACAACAGTGAAAGTCATGAGCATCCACTGGAAGAGAGCAGTGCAAGTACGAGGTGCAAGCAGGGCAACAATCAGCTGAGCTCCTTTTCTTGCAGATGATTTGGCCAGAGCATCAAGGCCTTCCTGCCCCACAGTGGGAGCAGCCCAATGGAGGTGCCCAATGGTCTCTGGCTTGAGAGAAGCAGAGCAGAGGGGGCGATGACAGAGCCAAAAGGGCGATGCAGAGCAGGGAGTGGGAGAAGAGCAGGAATGGAGATGGGCCATGTGTGCAGGCAGTCTGGGCTGGCCCCTGGCTACTGCCTTGCTTGGTACCCTCAGAGCAGGAGGTGGAAGTGTTGAATCCCTTTGACAACCTTTGCCCAGAGATGCATCTTCAATGCCTGGGGTGTGTTCCAGAGAGCAGGTGGCTGGTGTCAGGGGTGGTGCTGAGGGTCCTCAGCAGATGTAGCCATAGCCCCTCCTGCCATAGCAGCCCAGGCCTCCCAGCCCGTAGCCAAACCCACGGCCGTAGCCAAGGCCGTAGCCAAAGCCACCAAATCCACCAGAGATGGGCTGTCCCTGGGCACTGAGCTCACTGCCCACGGCAGCCGAGGAGGTGGATCCGACGGCGGTGTTCTGGGGGAAGGAGGTCATGATGGGTCCTGGCAGGGTGACCAGCACGGGAGAAGGCTGGATAACAACGCGGGAATCCTGGCACTGCAGGGCACAGGGCTCGTTGCAGCTGTTGGCCAGCGGGGTGGGTCCGCAGGGCTGGCAGAGGGTGTTGCAGGCCATGGGTGTGGAGTGGAGGGTCCTGGAAGAGAGAGGGGTGAGGCAGGGCAGGGATGTGAGGGGGAATAGGGGCAGTGATGGAGGAGGGTGAGGGAGTGTGGAGGCTGTTGTGGGGCTGTGGAGCTGCTGAGGCTGGGGCTGAGTGAGCTGGAAGAGAGGGGCCAGGGGTGCAGGAGGTTCAGGGGGTTGAGGCTCACCTCGTTGTTGGTGCAGGAGCAGGAGGAGAAGGTGTGCAGTGAAGTGTGTGAGGGAGAGAGGCTCTGGGCTGGCTTTTATGCTGGTCCTGTAGGGGTGGGACAGCCTTGTCCTGTGGCCTTGGGGCATTTTTTGGCAGCAGCTCTTGCCTTGCCCAACCTGGTGAGTCATGAGGTGGGGAGTGGTTTCCTCCACTGAATTCTGCAGTGTCGTGTCATGCAATTGAGGCCATGTCCATCTGACCTTAGCCACAGCTTTAGAGTGAGAATTGGTCTTCAGGAGGATTTGATTGTTAGATACAATCTAAGAATCTGGGAAGACTGAATAAACAAGCAAAGACCAGAAGATGTGCAATGTCATCAGTGATGTCATTTTGTGACCCTTGTGGACTGTGGTTTGCCGGTGCCTTGTGAAGTCTGGGAATCTGTTTTGTGCCACTGGATGTCCATCACTCATTGTGTTTCTCCCAGGAATGCTGAGGGATGTCCTGGGAAGGTCAGTTTTCAATTATTTGTCAAGGTCCCAGTGCCTGGGAGTTCCTCCTGGTGGATGAAAGTGGGCTCTTGCTCTTGTGTCTTGAATGGGATCAAGAGAGGATCTTGGACAGTAGAGGTTGTTCAGACTAAACTTTTTCCAATCTTATATTCCATTTAGATTTCTAAAATTTACCCAATAAGCCACTCTATCATTTACAGCGTATTTCTTGACCTGATTTGGAAATCCAATAGCCAACAACAAATATTTGCCCATCCCTTTTTTCCCAGCCTGGTGTGTGATGTCAATTTGTTTATTCTGTGTTCAGGCTAAAGGGTTTCTTAACTTATACCCTGTAAATGTAATACTGTGTTCCTATTAGAAAAAAGGAGTAATTACTAATGGACAGTGAGTTGCTTTTTCCTTCTCTGTCATGGTGCTGGCGTTCCTTTTTGTGATTCTGTGATTCCACATCCTTCTCTTGAGGCCGAGTCCATTTGACCTTGGTGGCAGCTTTTAAAGTGTGATTATTAGGGGTTAAATGCTGGTCATGATGGTTTATGTCAGGGTGGGTTGAAGACGTGACCAAAGCTTTGTGGAGATGGGGCATCATCAGTGAGGTCACCCCACTACACTGGTGTGCTGTGTTTTGTGGGCGTGTGGTGAAGAGGGACCATTTCCTCATCGGGCTTTTCACAGAATTCAGAGTAACTGGGTTGGAAGAGACCTTCAAGATCATCAAGTCCAACCCATGCCCTAACACCTCAACTAAACCATGGCATCCAGTCTTATTTTAAACACATCCAGGAATGGTGACTCCACCACCTCCTCAGGCAGACCATTCCAGTACTTGATCACTCTTTCAGTGAAAAACTTTTTCCTAATATCCAGCCTA